CCAGAGCTCCCGCCAGCCACCCTTCCCAGGACCCCAGAGGCCCCTCAGGACCCCAGATCCATGCGTTGTGGTGCTGACCCGGGTCAGTAGACATGTTCATGTTCTTTCCAGTGAAGACCAGCTGTGGTGGTTTCACTCCTTTGGCTGCAGCCAAACACAGTCGCTCTCTCACTCTCCCCCCCACCTCCAGGCAGTAAGGGAGAGAATTGGAAAGGTAAAAGTAAGAAAACTTGTGGGTTGAGAGAAAAACAATGTGCTAATTGAAATAAAATGATAATGATACCAGCAGTAATAACAGAATGTACAAATGAGTGATGCACAGAGCAGTCACTCACCACCCGCTGACCGATGCCCAGCCTGTGCCAGACAGTGATCCCGGAGCAGAGACAGTCCTGAAACTGAAACCCTGGAAGAGCGAGACTGAGCGACCCTTGAGAGAATACCCCCGATTTCCAGTCAACTCTGGTTAATATACTGACATGACGTGATATGATATGGAATGTCTCACTGGCATAACCAAATGCCAGTTTGGGGTTTTGCTAATTACTACACATCCCTCCTCCCACCTGTGAACTACCCAAACACGATGACCTTGGGCCAGCAGCAAGTAAAAACATTAGTACCTTATCAACATTCTTCTCATAACAAATCCCAAACTGAAACCAAAACACAGCTATTCTAGCTACTAAGAAGAAAATTAACTATCGTAGCAAAACCAGGACACCAGTATAGGAAGGCCTTGGAAAAACAAAACAAAACCAAACCTAAAATATTATTATTTATGAAAAATATGCAACTAAAGGATTAGTTGATGTTGACATCATTAACTCTGTAAAATTCAGAAGTAAGAACCAGATTTCACTTGAGAGGACTTAAATTCATACTTGTCACTCCTCAGAAGGGGGAATTTATGACTACGCTTAATTTGGCGGATGGGGTTCACAAGGACACAGCAGTGTGTTTTCCCTTTCTTCCTTCAGATTCAGCTGGAAGAAATCCCCCATGGGGTAGAAGGCAGTGATTCTGCAGCCTTTGGGTCTGTGGCGTGTGCTGAAAGGGGAATTACGCCTCTGAAGTGCCAGTTCATTCTTAGCAGGACTCTAGGCTTGGATTTTAATTTTGGGAGACAGGCAAGTTTGATGTAACATCTGACAGCCTGCAAGTCAACAGTGCATGTGCTGTTTTCCAGTGTAAATATACATTTTATATATATATATAAGAGATTTAGCTGGGGAATTGGAGTAGGAATATTTCCAGTGGAAGATATCTTGTGTTCTACCAACATGACAAATCCTATTCCATCATTGCAGTGGCATTCAGATGTTTATTACACTTTAACTTTTTATATTGACTAGGATATTTATGTGCTCTGGATATTACTATAGATTTATTGGTTGCACAATCACTGTTTTCCATCTGAAATTCAGCAGTGACTTGTTCCAGAGAATTGCTGGAAAATGGGAACCTACAGGGAAGTGTGTGGAGTATCAGTACAGTCCATGTGCAGGATTGGATTGAACAGTTTCTGGTCTTGTGGTTGAATGATACTGTTGAACAAGAAGTGGGGAATTTTAGCATGAAATTATAGTTGCATTCAGTTACAGATGGGGAAATCCTGTGTGAGGGTTCTTACAGGGATCTTACTTTGAGTTAGATAACTGAGTTTTGAACAAGAAAGTGTTTGGGAAGGGCAGAGGGAAACTGAGGCAGGGGAGTGCAACCCAATACAATATGAAATTATGTGTTGTACTATGTCATGCCATTAGATAAGGAATTCCAGTCATAGCAAGAAATAGTCAATATCCTTGGGTCATGGGATAAGAGCGAGTGATGAATCCTTATCTAGGGAGCAAATGCTTTAGGTGCAGTGTGTCGCGCTCACCATCTCATGGAATTCATGGATGGGATTTGCATTATGTTTCTTGTGTCTTGCATTCTTTGTGCTGCTTGTGCTCAGGCAGCAGTTGGTATTTGACTGGGAAGGACAGATGCTGCTTGTTTGAATGATGTAGTATTTCCAGTGTCTCACAACTCTACCATGGAATCTTTCAACCACCTCTTTCCAATCTATTCAGAGTCATAAGTCATTAGTAAGAATGGGAAACAGCTTTAAGCTGAAAGAGGGGAGGTTTAGATGAGATATTAGGAAGAAGTTCTTCACTGTGAGGGTGGTCAGACATTAGAACAGGTTGCCCAAGGAAGTTGTGGCTGCTCCACCCTGGAAGTGTTTAAGGCCAGGCTGGATGAGGCTTTGAGCAACCTGGTCTAGTGGAAGGTGTCCCTGCTGATGGCAGGGGGGTTGGAACTGGATGATCTTTAAGACCCCTTCCAACCCAAACCATTCTGTGATTCTATAAGAAGCACTTTAACTGCACAGTGACTTGTATGACTTGTATTCTTGTTTGTAAAACTGTCTGTACACTGGGAGTGACCTTTGGTAGTAAGCATCAGATTTAGTTGATCAATAAGAGCTCGGTTATGTAGAGAAGCTATGACCAGGTCAGAGATATGATAAAATGTTGGGAAACTGATGTTCCTGCTCTTTGTTTGTCTAACTCTTGATCTAACACCTTTTAAGCAGCAAAACCTTTTAATGGTTATACTGCTGTATCTGAAATTCAAAGCTGATTTGCTAGTTTCTCCACTAGAAACTGTACTTGGCCCATTTAATAATCCCACAGCGAGTGTTGGGGCTGAGAAGCTGTGGTGGTTTCTAGCTGGTCCTCCCTCCCTCCCTTCCTGATGGGAGTTGTGCAAGTGCAGAGTCCTCCAGTTCCTGCTCCCATCTGCTGCTCTGCCATGTCATGCTAGTGTGTCTGCTGCCACGCTTGCGCAGAAGAGAAGTAATGCTCCAGAGATTGTAATGAGGGTTATAAAGTTCTGGTGGAGGTGGACCTTGCTGTTGTCAAGGTGAGAACTGCCCCTGGTTACATCTTAACTCTTAACAAGCAGAAGCTTTCTCGTAGGACAGTTTCTTACAACTTTGAGTACATAAAATACTTGAAAACTTCTCAGATTACAAGAGCAGGAGTTCCTGTGTGTTGGGAGCAGGAAGAAAAAAGGAAGAGGGGTGATGGTGTTGGATAAAGAAGTTGCTTTGTAGACTTTGTGTCATTCAACAGATTGTAGTGTCTCGCTTCCCAGCTCTGAAATTGGGAAATCAGTGTAAGTGACAGGTAAAAGGCCTCGTTCCTGTGCTTGGAGTGCCCAGCGTTAGTAAGACAAGCTGTATAAATACGTAAGGAATATTTTAGCTGCTCATTCTTAAAACTAAGTTATGAATTTGACAAGCAGGTTAATGCAAACAAATCTTCTGTCTCTGCTCAACAGATGCCCTGTTGCCTCAGAAGAAGGGACAAATACCTTCCAGATCAGCCATGAACTGGTATTGGAAAGTCCTGGCAATTTTCTTACTATTTCTTCCAAGTGCATCATCTCTGCAGCCAGCCCAGCCCAGAGTGTTGTTAGTATCTTTTGATGGATTTCGATGGGACTACATCTATAAAGTCCCAACTCCCAGTTTTCATTACGCCATGGAGAATGGTGTTCATGTCAAACAGGTCACTAACGTGTTCATAACGAAAACGTATCCTAATCATTATACAATGGTGACTGGTCTCTATGCAGAAAGTCACGGTATAGTTGCTAACGAGATGTATGATCCTATTCTGAATGAAACTTTCTCTCTGAACAAAATGGATATCCATAAATCTGAGTTCTGGGAAGAAGCCAGCCCAATATGGGTGACAAACCAGAGGGAAGGACATAAAACCGGAGCAGCTATGTGGCCTGGAACAGATGTGAAAATACACGGAGTCTTTCCTACATATTACATGCCCTACAATGAATCCGTCTCCTTTGAAGATAGAGTTGCCAGACTTATTGACTGGTTTACATCAGAAGAACCCATAAACTTTGGTCTCCTGTATTGGGAACAGCCTGATGAGATGGGCCATATTCTGGGCCCAGATAACCCGCTTATGGGACCGATAATTCGTGATATTGACAAAAAGCTGGGATTCCTTCTGTCTGAACTGAAGAAAGCGAAGCTGTGGGATGTGATCAATGTCATAATCACAAGTGATCATGGAATGTCACAGTCCTCCTCAGAAAGGCTCATTGAACTTGATCAGTATGTGAGCAGAGAGCTCTATAAAGTCATTGACCATTCTCCTGCAGTAGCTATTTTGCCAAAAGCAGGTAGGAGTTATAGCAGTAAAATTCTCTAAAGAAAATACTTGAGTATTAAAACTTTGTAGACATTTTTCCCTAACTGAAGTGGTGGTAGCAGCACTGATGCCAGTAGGACATCAGCCTTGAACAAGGAGTACTTGCAGGATCACTCTGTGTTCTTTTTGCTAGCTTTGTCAAAAGCCTGGATTACCTTTCTGAAATGAAAAGTGAGCAAACCTGCCTGTTGTTGACCAATATTGCCAAATATCCTTTAGTTCTCAGGAGGAGTAAGATAATCTAACGGCGTTATCAAGGATAGAAAACAACTGAATGTTACATATCTTACCTTTCATCAAGATGCTAAAGCCAGAGAGGAGGAATTAGATTCCTAACTCAAACAGTAAACTGAAACCAGATGGGGAGCTTTGATAAAAAGAAAGCCTGTGTTGGTGTTTGCTTAGCTGCCAGCTATTGTAGTTCACTTGAGGTTTTTTCTCCCATCACGCTCAACAGCCAGCCAGCTGTATATATCCATACCATTTTTATTGTGGTAATGATGGGCAAGAATACTGTTGGAATTGAACTCTGAAGTCTGGTTGCAGTCATTGAAGGGCTGCTTAAGTGTCAGGTGCAAATGTGTTAACCTGGAAAACAGCATTTTTTGTGTGCACAGAGGTGCTAATTTGGAAGTTGAGTTTTAAGGTGACCTTCTGAAAAGGTATTTTTTAAGATTTCTGTAACGTTTGCATTACTAATGGGTAGCACTCTGTAATGCCCCAGCAAGGATTGTTTTGCAGACTTGGATGGAGAGCAGCCCTGAGGAGAAGGACTT